ACAGGACATGTATTGTCTGTATCATTTCTAAGTCACCTGATCATTGTCATAATGAAGTTGAAGACACCACTGCAGCTGTACTTATGGTTGATTAGCCCCCGTCCCTCACACAAACAAGTCAACAAAGCGGCATCTTTGGATTGAGGGGTGCTGGTTTCGAAGCAACTGGTTTGAAGCTCAAAGTAGAGCTGCTGTTAGCTCAAAGTAGAGCTGCGGTTAGCTCAAGGTAGAGCTGCGGTTAGCTCAAGGTAGAGCTGCTGTTAGCTCAAAGTAGAGCTGCTGTTAGCTCAAAGTAGAGCTGCGGTTAGCTCAAAGTAGAGCTGCGGTTAGCTCAAAGTAGAGCTGCGGTTAGCTCAAAGTAGAGCTGCTGTTAGCTCAAAGTAGAGCTGCTGTTAGCTCAAAGTAGAGCTGCTGTAAGCTCAACGTAGAGCTGCAATGCTAAATGGATGTAATATAGCTCAAGTCAGAGCTGCAGCAAATAGCTAGATAACACCAGTTGTGAGAGTGGACCCGATCAGTGGGTACGATAATCATAATGATTGTGTGAATAAGTTGAATAGGGAGGGATGGTGGGAAAGCAACACTGCGGAAGCGCGATCTGCTGTCTGGAAGAACACAACAGGGCAAGCGAGATTTGTTTTCTTTTCAGCAAAACGGGCTGAGTGCCATTTGTGATTACGCAGCAAAGCAAAGCGCATGACGTCAGTCTTGAAGGCAGCAAAGAGTAATGCAGTGCAGTGTGCGCGCTAGTTCGGATTGTTGCTAACGAGTACTAGCACAGCTAGTACCCCATTATTATAGTGGTAAAGACACACCTGGCAATATGGCGATAAACACACATATTAATCAACCTGATCATTGTCGACCTGTTATAAAACTCTGAGTTATGACGTCAATCTATCTATCTATCTCTCTCTCTCTCTCTCTCTCTCTCTCTCTCTCTCTCTCTCTCTCTCTCTCTCTCTCTCCATCTCCCGTAGTCATGATTATTCCGAACAGAAAACCATCTCTCTATCTCTGAATCGAGAGAATATCTGCTGTGCAATGATACCCTCAGTTCCGTGACTCTGGACACCTGTCACCAAGGCAACTAGGAAGAAAAGGACCAAGGAACTTCAATTATTTACGCTATAATCATGTCCACTAACACCACTCGTACTATACACACAGCTCATGCGATAGCATAGCACGTCACTGACCGACTAATCCTTGGCTCTCCATCCGAGTCCATCCTTGCAACTACTGAGAACGACTCATAGCCGACCACTAGCGCACTTTCCTCCCATCTCTACTTCCGTATTGGCCACGGGTCATCGTGGATACAGTCACACCTCGCTTATCCGGTCCTCTATTATCCGGATCCCTCGCCATCCGGAAGAAAATCGTTGGTTACCGATTTACAGCGTATGGTATGCATACATACAGAATGTGTGTTCGATTATCCGGTTCCCTCGCCTATCCGCATATTTTTGTGGAAAACGGATGTGTGCGGTTAAATTAAGCCAGGTCTGACTGTATAAAGAAATATTTAAAATAATTGTTGCGCCCTGTACCGCGGAATTTCTCCGCTGCCTCCCGTGTGTTTCTGCGACACGACCGACAATGCGTCTTCCGTCACCCAGACAGCCAGACTGCCTGTGGCTATGACTGCGGGTCAGTCATTCCCAGCACTCAGCAGCAGCAATCCCGTGTTGTAGTTAATTGTGCAGCTACTAGGTGCACTGTACACTGGCCGTGCCACGCACTCAACAATTATTTAGTTACATGCAGACTGCCAGCGGATCAGTCATTCCCAGCAGTGCACTCAGCAGCAGCAATCCGCTACAGGGTCAGTGTACTGTACAAAGCTATCACGGACTGACTGGAAATCCCTTCACCAGCATGCTGTCTCCATAGTCCACACTCTTTGAGGCAGTCGACGGTAAAATTTGGCCAGTTTTCGAGTCCGCAGTCGATCCTTCGCCTTGGGCAACACGCCAAAGCACTCCGCGGTGTGTTTCTGAGCATTTCTGCAGGGGTTGCTTGCTTCGCCACGAGTCGCCAGTACTTGTACTTGGCCTTGGGACACGGCATCACCGCACATGTCACTGATAGCGCAGTTCCGTTCCTCTAACATGCCACAAAATAATAATGTAGAAAGGCCATTGTTTCGCCTGCGTGAAGTCTGTAGTCGCTTCAAGAACAGCAGTGGTGTGACTGTGTGAGGCAGAAACTCGCTGGACTACTGGATTACACGTTGCAGGGTGTTTTGCGGGCAAACCAGAGAGGACGACTCCCTGGGATAAATCAAATATCCGCAGCGAGACGGCGATGGCAAATATACTGGTAGTTAGTGCAAAGAGCTTGCAGGATGCAAGTGACGGAACAGAAGAAGACCACGGCTGCCGAGCGCTGCTACCGGTAGATCTACTCAGACTATTGCTAATACTGGCTTGGACTGGACCGCAAGGTCGCTGGACCGGCAGAGGTCAAAGTGAGTTCACGTTACGTCGTTGAGCAGTGAAAAATCTAACGATGCTGCACTCAAACTCAGCCATAACGCTACATCGGCTGGGGGGTTTTGTTCGTAAACCCGTCAACACTCGGCAACAGACTGCCTGGGCCCATGGGGTAGCAGTCCAACGGCAAGAAAGATAATGAGGTCCGAGCCTACACAGGAATGCTGGGAATACGCGGTTTCGGAACAGGACAGAGATGAGAGCAGAGTTTGAAAGCATTAGCCCGCCATGGATCTAACGTTAGAATGCACATACACTTGAGCTAAAAGGTCAGAGTTGGATCAACCACGCACCACGAAGATTCACCGTCGCTCCGTGACAACCGTGATAGCAATAACAATCATAATCATTACTGATTAGAACTGATGTCGATGCCACTACACTACGTCTACCTGTACATAGACTCTACCAACTAATCAAGTCACGACTCACAAGTGCCTGACAACTGTTCGTTCGTTCGCAGTGCAAGTGACCAGGTGTCATCATGATCACAGCCACAGGTTTAGCGCTGGCACTAGCGGGAGCTGTGCCGTCCCAAATTTGATAATAATCTGGAGCCTCAACAAATTGAAAATAATATTAATCGGCGAGGAGACAAAACCGTACAAGGAGAGTGTAAACGCGCTCATCAGCAGTCACAACGCAGCAGTCGAGCTAGGATTCAAACGTTGTTTCCTTCTCCTGAACAAATTCCTTCCCTTTCATTTCTAAATCACGCACGTGAGTAGCGATGAATCCGAGACCCTTGGTCCTGGTCGGAGGAGTCACTTCTGCCCCGCCTCCACTTCCATCCAATATGCGACCGCCCAACACCTTCGTCGCTACGTCCGATGTACCGATCTACCATGGGCGAGTGTCTGAGTACAGCCGAATGTGGCTGACCTTCGTCAGACCAACTAGCTTTTTTCCGGCCGGCGCCCTGTGCATAATAACAACAGGTTTCAGCTTCACACTCAGGTGGCGACCGTGATGGTGAATTCATGCATTCTATTGGCATTTCGAGCAGATAGTTGACGAGATAATTATACAATGTACATGTATGTACCGGTAAGGGCACTCATACGCGATTCAATGTGCTGGTTGCGTGGAGTTACTATTGGCATCATCGCCGGTAACGCGCTCAACGAAGCGAAACTAATGAATGTATCTTTGGTGTTCTTCCTTCTTTCCAAGTCGTATTGATTGTAATGAACGTAGATGTACACATGACAATAAAATTTATGAATAGATGCACGAGGCGCTAAATGTACAATCATGTAGATGTTGTTGTTGACTTTTATTTTTGCTTCACCACTTGTACAGGCATGATTGCCTTCTCACCGTGCCATAGGTCCGATGTACAGATGAATGGCCCATCTCGTGTTGGTACCAACACAATGTACAATGTACTCCAGCGCTGGCAACTGAAATCCGACCCCTGAGCGGTGCGCTCACATCGCAAAGACCCAACACGGGATTGTAAAACTACGAAAATATACATGTAGAGGCCGCTAGAATGTGAAGGCATCGCTCAGGGGTCGGATTTCAGTTGCTATCACTGTAGTACTTGTATATTGGCTATAGCTAGCAGCAAGATAAAAGACTTTCTCTTGCAAGGCCTGTCGTCTAATTCTAGTCATGAGTGAGCCCTGAATGGCGGTACGCTCCGTCCTGCTGTTCAGTGGATGGCATGTCGTGGTGGCCTGCAACGCTCGCGGCTATCATTACAGCTGCGCTGGTCCTCAGTCAGGCACGGTGACCTTCGTGGTGTGTGTCCAAGTGAGACTCTTTGGTCCATGCTACTGTCCATTCCGCCGTGAGGATGCGTCCCACGTGCCCACGCAGAAGGAGCAAGCTTAAATGGCGCCTGGTCAGTGCGAGTCTGTCAAATCAGCGCTCAGTGTCAGTTGTCACCAGTCCGCTGCTGCAGCTTGAGTGGTGTGAGAAATACCCATTCGCCTGTCACCATGCACTGCTGAATGTGGTCCGTGAGCTGATTTAGCCTGCTGAATACACTAACACACTGCTGGTGCCAGGCAGTGGTGGTGGTCTCACGTCCTTGCAAGTTGCAATGGCTTGAGCCCGTGCGTAGTGAGCCAGAGAAAAGCAATAAAGAATGCCATTATCTACTTGCTCAATCCCAGCTCGTACCAGCCATCGAGTACGCGTGCAGTCCTGGCGCATGGCGCGCAGCTTACATGACAACGGGTCAATCTGGCTGTCAATCACCTGTCAAGAGGCCAGTGTCGCGCGGACTGCACTCCAGCAAATATCATTGCACTCCCGAATCATCAAGCAGTACAGCGCTCTCTGCCGCCTCCTTTCGAGGACAATTCCTCGTCAGCGAACGTTCAACCTCTCATCAAACGGGGTCATCCTCTGCTATAGCAGTCGTAACCATTGGACATTGAAACTGGACATGATGCTGATAATGTTTCTCGGAAGCCATAATTATAATGCGATCTCTGTTCAACATAATCATTCTCCCTGACTCGTCAAGAATGCGGCTGCGTGATGTGATCATCAACGTGTTAAATCTCATGGGACATGGGATGCGTGCTTGCCTCATCAATGACGCGGATGATAAACACCGCCCAGTGTGACTTGCGTGTGGTCATGAGATGGAAGATAAGATATAGAGTTGTGTATGCGCGCGTCGACAGGGCGTGAATCCGCTCTCGGGTAAGTTCATAATAATTAATCAGTACTAATAACATACTTGTTTTGCGGTGACTATGGCTGCATTGGCGTTTTGCGCAACAATATCCTCCTTCCGAGTTCTCGCTAAAAGCCAACTTCATTCAGCACAATCACTTTTCAATCTTGGGTGAAGAAGATCCACATGTATAGATAAACGTTTGAGACGCGGTACAGAATTGCCCGTCAACTGTCCAACTCCACAGCATGGCCGAGACATACCGTTCACGCCAATATTTACATGTACATGCAGTTGGGAACAACAACAACAACCTGTCTTGGTGACTGAATGAATGGATAAAATTAATGACGATGTGAGAGTTCGTGTGCGTGTGTGTGTGTGTGTGTGTGTGTGTGTGTGTGTGTGTGTGTGTGTGTGTGTGTGTGTGTGTGTGTGTGTGAGAGAGAGAGAGTCGGTGAATGAGTGAGCGTGTTGTTGACTGAAGTGAGTGAGACCAAGATGCATGTCCATTGTACATGTCGACACAAAGAAAACGAAACTGGACGATAATCACGAGGTAATGGGCAGGCATGCGAGCAAAGATACAGGTGGGCGATGGGGTTCTACAGTCCGTGACGGGAATGTACACCTACACATCTCGCATGTACATGCGTGTACATGCGAGATGTGAGAATGGGTGTCAAGAGAGTAGATGGCAGGCAAGATAACAGACTTGCAAGTGAAACTAGAAGAATATCTACATTTACACCAGTGGCATATCAACTACTGAACTCTCGCAATTGCTATGCCTGCTCCTTGTCTTTCGTTCCTTTTTTATAATACCCTTGCTGTACTCTTTCACGGACACACGACATTTCGTTTATGAGTAGGAGACACCCTCGACAGGCCTAGAGCCTCTGGGCAATCCTTAGAATACAATAAGTTACAAATACAGTTAAACCCTACTTGGCAAGTACAAGTAGGTGTAGGTGTAGGTGTAGGTGTAGGTGTAGGTGTAGGTGTAGGTGTAGGTGTAGGTGTAGGTGTAGGTGTAGGTGTAGGTGTAGGTGTAGGTGTAGGTGTAGGTGTAGGTGTAGGTGTAGGTGTAGGTGTAGGTGTAGGTGTAGGTGTAGGTGTAGGTGTAGGTGTAGTTGACTGAACCAAGGAACATCCCCCCCCCCCCCCTTCCCCCTATCGCATGCCGATATCCTCGTGGTCATACTTCAGACAGTCCCTTACTCTCCCTTCGGCTAGCGCATGACTCTTGATGTATTGAGGATGTTGAGCGGCTATCGGTAAACCACCTCTGACCTCGGTGCTATAATAGTGCATCCCCGATTGCACCTAACCACATTCTTGCAAGAAGAGCACAAGGCTTATCGCCGAAGTCGCTACCACAAAAGGTATATTCCATATTTGCTTCTTTTTCTTTTCTTTTTGACTTCTTACTCTTTTCTGCTAGCCGCGGTTGGCTATAAAAACCCTGCAATCGCCACACAACGTGGTCATTGGCTACCCCAGCCATGTATTGCTTGGAATAAAACTAGAAACCACAAATCAAGAACACATTCGAGTTGTTGGCAAAACCTACCTCGATACATTTCGTTACTGCTAACTGTGGATAGAGTGACTGGCGAGCTTTGGCTCCGCGTGAGCAGCAGTTCCACGGGGCCACTGGCTGCCTTGTTGCTGAGTCGGGTGCACGGACACAGCTCACACTGCGCTAACTGAGCTCGGCAGTACGGAGCGTGCGATGTCAAGACGAGAACAACCACCGCGGCCAGGAGGATGCCCGACGTTGGCGATGGTGATGGCGAGGAAGGTCGGCTTGCTAGAACAGCCATATTTGTATTGGACCCCGTGAGGCCAGGAGCAGACAGCACAGCGAAGAAAGTCCACTCCGCGTCCCCGCTGGTACGATAACGTTGTCTCCACCCACCTCAAGATATCACACAGCTATAATAATAATACTACTACTATTACCGCAGTGTTAGTGGCTATTAGATAATTATAATGTTCAGAGCGAAACACGCGATGCTAGTCTAACCCTCACGGCTACCAGTGTACAGGAGATAAAGACAGTGTCTATCTTCAAGAGGAATTCTTTCAAAATGCCAAGGTACTCTTCTGCGGATGAAGCGTACCGCACCAACAGCACCTCCGTTACTGAGCGCACTGCCGAGAGGAGGTGGGTTGTTTGTTGCTGGCGATAGTGTGCGTGATATGTGAGCACAGAGGGCTGGGCCTACAACTAGCCCGTCCCCTGCCTTGTATGGTGTGTGTACACACAGGTGGTCTTGCCATACATGAGCATGCCATGCTTGCAGGGACATCTACTGTGGCACGTCTCCCACCTGTGTACCTCTCGATGTGCCAAGGGCAGGAATGAATGGGGAGGGCGAGAGGGAGCCGAGTGTGGAGTTGTGACCGACTTGCGCTCTCTTCCGCGGGTGGCTGGCTGTGACGAATGGGTGGTCTGTTTACCGCCAACACGATACGGACGTTCCACTGAGCATACAGTCATGTAGGCAGAACGACGGCTGGCATTATGTAGACAGCAATGCAACGACATACACGGCTTCTGTAGGAGAGTGCTCAACAGTTCAAACGCTCGCACATAGACAATGCCATTGTAATACTAATAGTGCATAATCGACCGTGCCAACTGGCAACAGTTTGAACTCTGGACCATTTTCTCCAGTCCATGTATGCAGGGTGTATTATGAGTTCCATGTTGTGTTGTGTTGACATGCGTCTTAGCGATGGTACTTGTGTGTCCACACTTGCATCGTGTACCCGCTAGTGGTGCACTTGAGCAACACGATCGCACGCTAAATTGCCGTCACTGACCTGCAGACGGAACTGATCATCGCTACATCATCGCTTTCCCACGGCCCATTGAACTTGACGGTGTGCCGAGGGTATTTAGGCCGCTCTCTAATACTATATTGCACATTGCACCTCTGCCACTACCGCACTAGGTCACGATGCTGGTGCTGATGGAGCTCGGCTTGGGGCAGTGTGGTGAAGCTCCCGACCACTGAAACACGTACAAGCACACGCGCACGCACACACGCACGCACACACACACATGCTGGACTCTGGCAGACTGGAACCTGCAAGCGTACCAAATGACACAATAGACGGGCTATAGACTCGGAGGCGGATCGGAGTGGGTGGACGGTCGACGGTCGCTAAAAGACGACTCCCATGCAACTGCCACCGCCACCGCCACTGCCCAGTGTCTACAGTTACCATGTTAGGGAATTCGCCAATCGCCATGCGTATGACGTAATGCACCTATTATGATGTCCATTCAAAACATACAAATCATAACTAACTTTGTCATAAGTCGTTTGTGTGTTGATGGAGATGTACAATAATAGAACATCCATGTACAGGACACTAGTCACTCTGGTATCCCATACGTATGGTACGTTCGGGCCTGGTTTTAAACGCTAATGAGTCCACAAAGGACGAAACAGTTTTGTCCGCAGATTATTGTGCAGTACACATTAGAAAAGTGGAGCAAGGCTGATTCGTCGTTACCGGCTCTAAGCTTCAGGTTCGGTGCAATCCAATCAGACATCATCATTGGGGAGGGGGGGGGGGGGGGGGGCGGGGGTACCCTCCGTACCAGTAGGTTGGGGACTCTTTCTGGCTAACGACAACATTATCTGCCCTCGTTGTAAGATCACGGTGACTCTCGCAGTTAGAGCATTCTCTTAGCCTGACCTTGATACTTTGAGAACGGGTTTATTGACTTTATTGAAGTTTATTCACAAAGCCGCTCCGAGGCTGACCATTGGTACATGCTTTTCTGTCCACTACAAGGTAGACTCCATTGCGCTCACCATTGATTAGGCCAGTTACTCTGACCCTCTGCACAAAATCAATGCAGCTGATACGACCTTACAAAGTCCAAACAGATACAAGTACATGATTGTACATGTATTTCAAAGTACATGTGTTGTACAGTCGTGGCCAAATAAATCCGACGCGTCAGTCATGCAAAAGCAGCGCCGCGTTTCCACTTCAATAACATCAGCCACGGTACAAAGCTCCATCCGAGGCGGCCGCATGAGCCCCATGAGCCTCGCCGCTGCCTTTACCTCATCGGTTGGTTGGTTGGCGGGCTGGTTGGATTACTCGCCCAATAAACGGGAACTAGACCCCATGATATAACGGCGAACGGACCAGCCGCATTTAGAACTTAAAGGAATGTGTTGAGGCTGAACGCTTCGTGTACATGTACATGTCATTAGACTCACTACGAAAGAAAAGGATCTGACAGAGGAGTCGAGCGAGTATCAGGGATGGCAGGGTGGTCAAGGAGAGCTAGCGGGCAGGCTAGTCAGAGCAACAAACAGACAAAGGGCTAGTCAGAGCAACAAACAGACAAAGGGCTAGTCAGAGCAACAAACAGACAAAGGGCTAGTCAGAGCAACAACACGCTAAGCAACTTCTGCTAAACTTCTTCTGATTTGCTGTCTCATCCGGCGGCAGTGCAACTGAAATCGAAAGTGAAACTGATGGATTGAGTGATTCTACCACATGCGATGTCAAGGAGAAAAGGCTGATGATGATGACTGCATGTACTGCTGTATTCGACTTGGCACATTCAAACGAAATAACCACCGAGTCAAGTGATGGCGAAGGCTTTGTCTACAAAACTGCAACCGGAAAGATAAACTAACATGAGGCATACGCTACGTCGCGGTGGGCCCGGCGCATCGAGAGTTCAACAAACAGCTTTACCCGGCGAGGCTAGACTCGTGAGCCATGTTACGACGTCACCGCTCACGAGACAAGGTGCTACAATATGCACTGGAACTCAGTCACTAACTGAAAGGAAATCTCATGTTTAATATGATGTCTCTTGTAGCTGGCCCGGGGAGTGGCGAAGTAAGTTATGAATGTGATGTCTCTTGTAGCTGGCCCGGGGAGTGGCGCAGTAAGTTTCATACCTACCAACCATCCCGATTTGGCCGGGACCGTCCCGATAGAGAGGGTGGTAATAGGCATCCAAAAGTGCATTTTTCTCATGCCTCATGGCTACAGTTGTATACATTCCTATACCTAGGTTTTTTGTGTTTTTTTTTACTAGAGCCACGTAAACCCGTCATGTGTGAACCATGAATAAGGGGAGTGGTTTTTGGAAGAAACTTATGGGCACCCCCCTTGACCATGATCCTGGCTACGCCCCTGCTGAGAAACTCAACTGAATGTCATTGAGCAGTGCTAGCATGCTGTACATTCCACAATGACATGTATAATGCACTAGTACCGGTAATAATAATAATTCAAGGGACGACTCGGCGCGGCTCACAAGATGGCAGAACTCATTCGCCTTCAGCTTCTGCAGTTCATGCGCCGCACTGTGGGAAGCAAACAACTATGTACTAGCCTTCTCGACTACCGGTATACAATAGTAATACTATGTAACTATGTTCATGTCGTTGAATGTTTCAATGCTGTATCAGTTTGGTGCTACCGGTAAATTATGTATGTCACTGACTGTCCAAAGTCTGATCTACAGGACTTGTACAATGTAGTTGGTGGACTCTACCGTATAACTAACTACCCCCACGGTTTTCACTACCCCCACTGTTTTCCTTGTTTTCTCAAGAAACCTGGGCTCAGTCACCATCTGGTGGGTCCTGGCCGCAGGCGGCTTCTCTACTGAGTTCTGAAAGATTTCCCAGAGGTTGAATGACCATGTACCAAGGTCTTGTACCGTTGCAAGAAGCTACTCCAGTATGAGGAGTAGTTATGTACTCTTGGTATGATCAAGAGAACAGAACTGTTTATGATTGTACTCTTGGTATCATCAAGAGTCCACAACACATGCATGGAGAGTTATGGACTCTTGATGCAGTATTACACATGGGTACAGGTTAGCATTTTACCGTTCACGTAACTAACTTCGACCGTTGGCCTGTACCGTTTTTTGTGTGTTTAGCGTGTGCTGTCTCTTTTTTTGTGTTCTAGCAATCTCACTGCCAGTTCTTTTTCCATTGTTCAAAGCATGCAGCTTTTTTTGCTAATGTTATTTTTCCTAGCTCTTTCTTCTCTTCTCTTCGATCAGTTTCTCCCTTTTTCGTTCAAAATCGCTCCCTCGCACGTTTGTGCGTGTGTGTGTACGTGTGCCCGTGTGTGTAAATATTTCAGACTTTGCAGCCGAGGTACTGTTTATCCGATATGTCAAAATACGGCTGGTAAATAATAAAGCACCTGAGATTGTGACAATGCAGGGTCTCCGACAATGGCATTGTACGTTGTCCTTATAATTATGCCACACATGAAGTGCATGTTGGAAAGGGTGGACACACCCAGGCCCATGAAGTATGTTATACCGGGACATGCATCCTGGCAGATATACATGATTGTTTCACTGATATCAGCAACTGTTACCAAGAGAACTCTTGCCGATGCCGTTGCCCATACCTGTGGCAAGAATATTAATTTTATAAGCTACCAGAGCTAACATGTATACTCTTGCCTGTACTGACGTGACAATCTCTTAGCCTGTTAACGTTTACTTTCCCTACTACATTGGCTACAGAAAGCGCATGCCCCCACCATGCACACTATGCAAGCACACACACACATACACACACGCACACACACACACACACACACACACACACACACACACACACACACACACACACACACACACACACACACACACACACACACACACACACACACTATCCGGGATCAGGAATGACTTTGGACTGTCAGGTGTTATCATTACACGTGGTAAAGACAATGACGTCATGCTACAAAAATATGATGTCATCAGAGAGGTGATACGTACACTGCTGAACATGATGGAGAAAATAATAGGAAAGCATGAACAACAGCAACTTGGTGAAACCGACTGAACACGTAAACAAACACACACACACACACACACACACACACACACACACACACACACACACACACACACACAGAGAAATTGCAGCACAAAGTAAAAGGTCAGACAAGGAGCAGTCTGGTCTAGGATTATACCGGGAAAAAAAACTTCCACTACATTGCTCAGCACACAAATGAGATTGCAGCTCATAACGGGGGATGCATACACACGGGTACGTGCATGAGTGCGAGGTAATCCCAGAGTACACACGTCACAGCTGTCCAGAAAGGAAAAACAGACAGTGATGCTAAAATAACAATGGCACACAGCAGGGGTGGGTATTATGACATCATGATCATCTAGTGATTATGTCATCATGACTCATCACCACTCACCTAATAGAATACAAGAGCGGACCGTACTGCAGTCTATAATAGGAGAATAGAATCATCGACATCAGAAAACTATAGCAACATTGAAAGCACGTGTCACGTCTCTACATGCTCGCTTGAACACACACAGAGAGCCACGCAACAGCACTCTTGTTACAGAACTAAGGTTAGCATGCAACAACAATAACACAGCGGCACTAAACTGAAACACTCATGGCTCATGGCGTCATGCCTGGCAAGAGCCTACACCTCATAGTGACGACTGACGACGTCGTGATTACATGGAGTGGTGGCGTCATGTTTGCACGGACTGATGATGTAATGTTTGCATGGACTAGTGACAGTATAATCACATGGAGCGGTGACGTCATATTGGCATTCACTGGTGACGTCATGGTTACATGGACTAGTGACATCATGTTTGCATGGACCGGCACAGCGCCTGCGCCCTGAGTCCGACAACTCCTCTCAGCAGGCCCTGCGATGCATCACAGCCAGACGGTGATGTATGCTTGATGGGCGGTGGCGCTTGACAAACCTCTCCCTCATAGCGCTAGCACAATAACCTGATGATTAGGTCGCAGACAGGATTCACCCGGGGCTGTCAAAGCCTGCCGTGGGAAGTAGAATCCATGCCACAGCGAGCGATGACATCACGGTCAGGTAATGGCGTGTCATTTTCATATCATGGTGACATCATGGTCAGGCAATGGTGACATAACGGTCAGATGATGATGACGTCACCACAGCGGAAAACAACAGCAGACGAGCAGGAACGTCACGCTGACTAGCGGCATGCCAATTAGCAGCATCTGCACTGCTGATAGAAGATGTAGAACCTACGCCACGATGAGGCAGTCTTCAGACATGACAAAGCCAGATGTGGGCGTGGCAAACCTACGCCACAATGAGGCAGTCTTCAGACATGACAAAGCCAGGCGTGGACGCAGCAAACCTACGCGACGATGAGGCAGTCTTCAGACATGACAAAACCAGGCGTGGACGCAGCGAGCTTCACGCAAGCTGCCGCTGACAGCAGCGGGCAGCTGCGCAGGTCGATACGACGTGCCGAGCGGCACCGTGAGAATGCCGGCACGACGGCGTCGGTGATACGGGGACACGAGGCCATCTCCAGGATCTGTACGTTCTGCACAAAGGCACACTGTGTGGCAGTGATGGCTCGAACGCCGGCGTCGCTGATCTGCTTACAGAAGCTGAGCGACAGGTGGAGCAAACCGGCGGCGTTCTGTGCGAGCACGTGCACCGTCTCGTCGGTGACGCTGGTGCCGCTCAGCGCCAGGTACATGAGGCGCGACAGCGGCGACCACGAGTGGAGCTGATCCGGCAGCGGCGTGGACAGGAGACAGCGCACCGTCTCGTCATTCACCTCCGACGACCAGGACACGGAGATGTCCTGCACGGACGCCGGCAGCGATACAGACGTCTTCTTTGCCGCCCCCGAAGCCGCCGCAGCATCAGTTACAGCAGGACTGCTCGATGAAGTGGAGGCGCCATGTGCTGACAACGCCAGAATGACACTGGGCTGGAGACCGTCCAGCGATAGAAACGTCAGGGTCTTGGAGAGGCGCGCACCCAGCCACAGCATCTGACGGTGAGTCAGGCCACACCAGTCCAGACGCAAGCGCATTGGCTTACGTCGCGCCACGGCGCCGAGTACGGGTGCGGGAACGGGCGTGTAGCGAGTCAGGTCGATGCTCTTCCAGAACTGCGGGTGCGACGACCAGCGCTTGAACGCCTGACATGTGCGCATGCAGCGCGCTAGCATGCCGTGCGAGAGGAAACGGAATATTAGCGACCAGTGCGAGGCCTGTAGCGCATGCACGCCACCGGTGGTCAGCGGCAAGCGATCGTGTGACTTGTCGGAGTGACACATGGACATACGACGAGACAAGAGCGCACGCCGTGACTCCAGGCGACGCTGCCGTGACGACGCTGACAGCACGGGCAGTTGTTGAGACAGAATGGCCGGGCGGCTGGGTGCAGGCGGGGCGGGGAGCATGGCTGGTGGTAGCGTGTGTGCAGAAGTATTCATAGTGGTGCCGGGCACACCTGGTCCTCTGCCTGCTGCATAACCACCTGCCGCTGCCGGTAATATGCCTGGGTTAGAGGACGATGACGATGCTACTGTCGCCGGCATTGTCTGCTGCTGCTGTTGTTGATGTTGTTGTTGTTGTGACATACTAGGACCATGGCCGGCGGTGTGACCCTGATCACCATGGTGATGGCGATGCTGGTAGTCCCGCGACACCATGGCAGGTGATCCACCGGACATAGGGTCTCTGGCGGACACGGGGTCGATGGCCGATGATGATGATGATGATGTCATGGCTGAGTCGTGATTAGGTGTTGGTGTTGGCAAGAGCTGCTGTGACTGCATGCTAGGCATGTTAGGCACGGAGGGCGCAGGCGGGTTGAATTGAAACGGGACACGCGGTGCTGCTGCTGCTGCTGCTGCGGGTAACGAAGACCCTGCTGGTAGAGAGGACGCAGGGTGCGCTTGCGGCAAGGGTTGAGAGTGAGGTTGCATAGTGAACTGTTGTTGCTGTTGCTGATGCTGATGCTGATGTTGCTGATGCTGATGCTGTTGCTGTTGCTGATGCTGATGTTGTTGCTGTTGCAGATGTTGTTGCGGTTGCAGCTGATGCTGTTGAGGTGGCTGAAGCTGCTGCTGCTGCTGCTGCTGGGGAAGGGGATTCGGTGACACTGGCTGCTGGGTTGGCAGCAGCGGAGAAGGGCTTCGGAACGGTGGAGCAGCCGATGGGTGAAGCTGCTGCTGTTGCTGTGGATTACTATTGCTTGTTGCAAGACCAGAGTGCGAGGGCTGTGGCCTGCGCAAAGACAGCGGAGGGAGAAGGGCAGGCTGCGAAGGAGCAACTTGAGCTGCATGCTGCTGCTGCTGAGGAACGGGGAAGGTCGGAGGAGCTGATACATTTGTTTGCTGCTGCTGCTGCTGGTGCTGCTGGTGTTGGGTAGGGTGTTGGGTAGGGTGTGGTGGCGGCATGGGGTGAGCAGGTGGCGGTAGTAGTCCTGACCGAGGGTCCTGCAAGCCAGCACTTGGTGGTGGGGCAACAACACCGCCGGTAAACCCAGCCTGTCCGGGCGGAGCATGCACCGGCGCTATGGGACCGTGGTGTTGCCCAGGCGTCACTGGACCCTGGTGCTGCCCAGGGGGTACAGGACCCTGGTGCTGCCCAGGGGGTACAGGACCCTGGTGTTGCACTGGAGGTGGTGGGAGCTGTGGCATGCCAGCAACTGGCGGCCCATGTGGTCCAGGCGGACGGTGCGGAGGGGCATTCGCCAGCGCCTGGGATGAAGGCGGGAAAGGTGGTGGCCGAAACGGGGCCTGGTGGTGGTGGTGCGGAGCCTGCTGTTGATCAGGACCTGACATTGGTGGATGTGGATGTGGAGGACCATGGTGAAAACCGACATCGTGAGGAGGACCGGGTCTTGCCGGAGGGGGCATGCCCGACTCAGGCTGGAAGGGGTGACGGTCGTCATGACGATGATTAAACTGATGATTCCCACTGTGGCCCGGGCGGTCAACGTCGTCGTGGAAACGTCGCTCGTCACGCCGAGAGTGTGGCCCGTGATGGACATCATCCTCCCCAGGATAGTCATGATACGGCTGATGATGCTGTTGTGGGTGGTGATCGTGATGATGGTGATGAGGAGGATGACGTTGTTGTTGGCGAGGGTCGGTGTGTCGGAAGTCCTCCTCACTACCTCCGCCGTCAGCGGCCCAGCCGTGGGAGGTACGGTGGTTACCATGGTGATGGCGATCCCGCTCGGCGCGTGAATATCCCGCCGGGTGATTGTGTCCAGCCCTCATTCCTCCTCCTTCACCACCTGTACGGAATAGAGCAGGGGAATGGGTGATGACAACACAAGAAATACAAGAATGAATAAGGTGGCAAGTACAGCTACGACTTACTGTAACCCGCCTAATGTTTGCGTCACTAATTTTTTTGCGATCTCTCAGAACCAGCGAGTTTACGATGGCAAATGTTCTCGGAGCATCGTGGCCACACATATACGCCCACTGTTGAAGTTTGATTTAAAGTTGGTTTATATTTGCGTAATGCTCTTCTCGCAAAATCAGCAAACATTAATACGCCGCAAACATTCGGCAGTTTCCAGTATATGCGTTGAGGTACTCGCCCTGTTCAGTCGCATGTACGGTTAATTGTCTATAGTGATCAAATCACACGTCTTCATACACCAACGCTATAGCAGATCTTTACCTGTACATGTCATGGCGGAACGTATTGCCAATCGGGGCTACCACATATACAGGTAGAGGAGGGGGATTTCCCCCATTTAGCCCGGGCCCGAGCAACACTACACGTAACCATAACAACCCATTTCAAATATTTAAAAAGTGTCCAAAGAAACAACATCAGTGACCAGTACACACACACACACGCACACGCACACACACACACACACACACACGCACACACACACAAGCTTACCAGGCCTGGACGACGCTCCTCGGTCCTCCCGACCAGACGGCGACGAGTACCTGTCCGCTGACGCTCTACCTTTCTCCTCACTAAGTAGCAACATACGATCACTAACTGCACCACCACTACCACCGCCACCGCCACTAGCAGTGCGTTGTGGTGATGTCGTACCCTTGCTGGTTGTTGCAGTGCTAGCAGCAACCATGGCAACTGGCTTGTTCTTTTTGAAACTGGGCAGCTTAGACACGTCGACGTTCGGGCCGCCTGTGATTCCGGACATGACGTCGCGGCCGAGGGGTTTTCCCTTCTTGCCAGCGCTGCTCCGGGTTTCCGTCTCCTCAGTCTCGACTGCCTTTGCTGCCGCTGTGGTGGTGTCCTTTGCAGTATCGACCAGTGTGCCCAGCGACTCTCCAGACATCATGAAAGAGGCTGAAAGCTACGGCAGAGAAAGTGGCAAGGAGAGTGAGAGAGTGAGAGTGTGTGTGTGTGTGTGTGTGAGAGAGAGAGAGAGAGAGAGAGAGAGAGAGAGAGAGAGAGAGAGGGGGGGGGGGGGGGAGGGAGGGAGAGAGAGAGAGAGAGAGAGAGAGAGAGAGAGAGAGAGAGAGAGAGACAGAAAGAGAAGGAGGGAGGGAGGGAAAGAGATAGAGGGAAAGAGAGAGAGAGAGAGAGAGAGAGAGAGAGAGAGAGCACATAGAGAGAAGGAGGGAGGGAAAGAGGGAAAGAGAGAGAGAGAGAGAGCACAGAGGCGGCTGGTGACGTGTTCATTCATACAATGGGTACTAACTTATAATAATAGAGAGGTTCCGCATAACGTAATTACATTAGTAAAAAATGTAGTCGATCTACGGAAAGTCTTACGTAAACTGCATGCGGATCTGGGTTCCGCCATACGGAGTTTTCAAATCATGTAGCTGCCCTTGGCAACTCCAAACGCGGCAGTGTACGACCAAATCGACCTGGGGAGAGAGTCATAAATTTGTACCCAATCCATTAACGGACCAGCTACGTTATCAGAGCCCTATCTACGTACTCTCCGTAGACAACTTTCCGTAAGTGGAGTGCAAACTCGCGAATTCATGGGTTTTTCCTGCCCACTAAAAGTAAAGTTGCTCAACTTTACGTAGTGCGGAACCTCTCTAATAACAACTTATAATGCCATAAAACCAAGAGTCCACAACCCCGAGAGTATGCAACTCTGCACATGGGATCTGGCACAAACTGGGAAATCAGCTAGGGACTTTGCATCATTATTGATCGGCTACGGTTTCCAGCTTCGAAGTGCTACCTACCCTATTCTCTGAGACTTTGGACCGTTTAGTGTGTGATGCGTCGTGCCCAGGCCTCCTGTATTATGCGTGGAATCGTTCCAATCCAATCAGCTCGATCGTCATTTCACTAAAATAATAATGAAGGCAGTGCGCCGCGCAGGGCAACCATAGTTCGGATATAGAAGTTTCACACCCTTGTGGTTATGAACTCTCGCTATACCTACTACACTATCTTCCAACAGCTAGAATGAAACTGGATATCTATCACAAGTATATGCAAACAGCCATACACGGACACCCACCCACACACACACGCACGCACGCACACACACCCACACACACACCCACACACACACCCACACACCAACACCCACACACCAACACCCACACACAGTCTCCCCAGTCCTCACCAGAGCTGGATCGATTACAATCGGAGCCACAACAGCCACTGATGAGCTGCCAGCAGCAGCATTGGTATCGCCAACGCTACACGTCACAGATGTTGATACCGATGGCAGTTGACCCTGTGCTGTTTCAGATGTATCCCCAGCAGTAGTAGTCGTATCAACCCCTTGCGTCGTCGTCGTCATCGTCGTCGTTGTTGTTGTACATGTGGCTGCAGGGTCAGAGCTACATGGAGCCGTCTCTTCACCGACAGAAGATGCACGTTTCCTTGACAACGCCGTTGTTGGCAATGCCTACCATAAGAACACATCAGACAAGGCCACACAGCAGTGGAGTGGATACACATTGCTATGGCAACTGTTTAAAATTTCAAATACCTACCCAGTACACGTTGGCCATGAGAAGACTCAGGAGTACAGGCAAAACTTGGTCACATGACCAACTACTGTGGTGGACATGGAAATCCAGTCGAATGACCGGGGTCGGCGCCCTCAGCGCGTACATAACATAACGTCGCTGCACGTAGTGTCATGTTGATCCGGGCCGATGCGACCAGCGCGCTGCAGCGCATATGTATCGCTTACCCACAGCTGCATGGCCAGCGTCCTGGGGGCGCTAGACGTGCGACCGGATTTCCATGTCCACAACAGTAGTATCGGCGACCTCCCTCCCTACCCGGTCACGTGATCAACGTTTTCACTGACCCCTTGATAAATGTGACCGACTGATTTTAGCAAACAAGCAAAAGAGTGGCTACATAAGCTTCCCGGTGGCGACAACTTCATTGTCAGACAGTCACATAGACACAACATGCACACAGGCATACACAGAGACAGACAGACAGACAGACAGGCAGACACACACACACAGACACACACACACACACACACAGGCCTTACAGCTGGTGATGCACAGTCAGAATCGGAGGACGTGTGATCCACATGACGTGCCACCTGCAGCAGAAAATGTAAATACACACATGAAAGCGATGCATCAACGCATGCAAACATAGACATAGACACAGACACGTGCACACACGTGCACCCATACACACACACACACACACACGCACACATACACACACACACACACACAAGCAGACACACATCAACAAAACATACATCCGATGCGACATCATTGGGTACCTTCCAACTCCCCAAAGTACAATATTTAAAAAAAATCTGCTTCACGGTTCGAGTTAGATTCGGTCTGTGATTGTTCGGGTGGATCCAGATCCAGACCCAGACCCAAAGGATCCACCCCATTGCCAACAACGCACGTCACGTGTTCCAAGTACGAGGACGTACAACGAAGGCTAGCGTGCGCACAGTCCAAATATCTGCGGCTTACATACTACGATAGTAAAATGATCGGTGACCAACAGGGCAGAGGTCTGTATATTAAACAGGGTAGAGGTCTGTATATTGACACAAAAAAAACCTTTGTGTGGCTTATGCTGCGGAAGAAATGGTACAGAAACAAAATAAACCGCCGCTAGCAGGTACTGTACAGGCAGAAAATTTCGTCGGTCGATAATTCCGTCCAACTCCAAAGAAAGGGAGTTCGTCCGGTTGAAAATTTCGTCCGTGGATCACAAGAGTGTATTGAAAAGCTGGACAAATCGACATTAGTCCGGCATTTAATTTAGTCCAAAAGCTCCCTGGACGAAAAAGACGAAATTAAATTCCAGACGAATATTTCCGCGTATACAGTAACCGCTGGTTTCCTGGGATTCAATCATACAAAACGAAACCAAACGGCCACCAGCAGCAGCAACTAACCGTTGGTTTCCTGGGATTCAAACATCGGCGCTGCAGACACGACTGCTTGCCGCGTCCCTCTCCGCCAAATTTGGGCATGTCCTTGCAATGGCGACAATCACCGCAGTCCGTACGACAACAGTTCTTGCAGTTACGGCAGCGAATGCTCCGGATGCGACAACCTGCAACCTTTGACGATGAGGAGGAGGATGACGTGCGGCGTCTACCACGCTTCTGTCTCCCCGTCGATGTGTTGTTGTCATAGCGATCATTCGAATCTCCAGTGTCTGCAAAGTGCTCGTCGTCGTCCGCACTAAAATGATCCGACATTGCACTGCTGGTGTCCATGCCCGAATTACTTGTAACCAATGCACTTGCCAACTTTGAAGTAGCTCTTGCTGTTGCAGTACCAGCAGCGGGGGATGCGGGAGTGCTGTCTACTGAGCCAGACAGGGACCTCATTTTCACTTTGCCAGGGCTTGATTCCGTCTTGCCCACCCTTCCTTCTGCAAACAAGGATAGGATGAAAGTGAAGTGCAACACAACAAACATACCCACACACATGTACACACACAGGAAGACATTATATTCCTTGAGACAAACATGACATGCAAGCTGCACCGAATACCGAATACCGAATACCGAATATGAGAGAGAGAGAGAGAGAGAGAGAGAGAGAGAGAGAGAGAGAGAGAGAGAGAGAGAGAGAGGGGGAGAGAGGGAGAGAGGGAGAGAGAGAGAGAGAGAGAGAGAGAGAGAGAGAGAGAGAGAGAGAGAGAGAGAGAGCAGTACGTCATTGTAGCTTACCTGCTGTCTTTCTTGGAGATGCAGTAGCAGCTGAGGACTTGCATACAATCTCTGTTTCAACTGCCACTATTTCCACAATGTTGTCAGGTATTGGTGCGGGCGACACACGCAGATTCTGCACACGCAGAAGGAAAGAAACACCATGAACATATACCTGTTACTACATGTACATGTACATGTTGCGACTGTCAAATATTCCACAGGCAGATGGTGGGGATGGAGAGGAGAGCAACATCAGCAATAGCAGCAGCAGCAGCAGCAGCAGCAGCAGCAATAGCTGCACTATTAGCAGCAATAGCAGCAGCAGCAGTGCACACAGCAATTCACCACACCATACCTCAGATTGTATTCCCGGTATGAGCATAAAATGTCCAGTGGCCTTGTCCTCGTGAAACCGGCTTTCATACTCGTTCAACAGAATCTACAGCGCACATTGCACAGGAGAATTCACACTCATTCAACAGAATATACAGCATACATTGCACAGGAAAATGCGGGCTTTCATACTCATTTCAACAGAGTCTACAGCTGTACATTGCACAGGAGAATACAAGGCAAAACGATTACGCAAATCTAAGCACATAGTTATATATGTCCCTGAAGATAGGCTACTGTAAAACCGGAAAATTTCGGTGGAGACTTATTTTCGGTAACTTCGGTGTTACCCACACATCACACACAACTTACCTCCACGGTCGACATGAGCTCGCCAGGATCCCCCAGCTCCTCGGGACACGCCCTCACCATCGTCGTGGAAACGTTAAGCTCGGCCAGCAGCCGACGCAAGCCGTCAATCTCATACGAGCTGAGACAGGCCATGTCCGAGAGCGGGCAGGATGGCGGTGATGGAGGTGGCTTGCCGCCTTGTGAGCTGTTCCCGTCTCCTGACGAAGCAGCAGCAGTAGCTGACGTCGTCGCTGGTGACTGGGCTGCAGTGTCATCCGTTGACAGCAGTGGGATCTCGGCGCATGCGGGCGCCGGAGAGAGCTTCGCTGCGTCCGTATCTGTCAGCGATCAGACAATCAGAATATACAAGTCCATATTTAGGCATAGGATACTTGCCGTGAACAGCATTGAACCGGCAACACCCAACAACAAGAGTACTGTAATTTCACAAATTTTCGGTGTACTTTTATTTTCGGTACTTTCAGTGCGTCTGTTTCATACCTAAAATTTCAATACACCGAACAAACACTAACACACATAATCCAATAGGGAACTGCTCCTCTGTACCTAACATTTCTGTTCACCTAACCTGGCCTTTTTGCCCTCATACCGAAAAATATTGAGCATCTAAAATTTCTGAAACTAGAGTATATAATCCCCGAAGAGTGTGAAACTCCCTCGCACCCTGCTGTCACAAAAGAATTTCAAATTGACGTCATTTTTATGATGCAATGTTCCACGCACCAGTGATTATTACGACATGTGTACGGCGAATCAACGCATCACACGTTTTTCTTTGCACTAGTCTGTACAAGGTCTAATGGGGCTTTGTCCACCACAGGTTCCGGATACGTCTGATAAATTGTGATAATACGTGTACTGTGCAGCCTCTTCCCTTGTAAGAATAAGATCCTGTGCTTTGAAACAAGAGTACATGGGGTTATGTAATCTTGCTTGACAGGATAACTACATATTTATGTTTGGATACTCCGAAGTGCAGTGATCCTGTTTTCTATTATTGTTGATGATGGTACAAACATAAATACCGCATATACACATCTTCGATATTGAGCTTTTATTAGAGAGGTTAAGATTCACGTTATTTCTGACGTGACGCGAAAGTTCAGCTCGCGTTATTTGGCTCGCGCGTCTAAAAACAACGCGAATGACCCGCAGCTCGCTTCGAAATTTGGAGTTTTACCCCAAATCTGATGTGAAATTGCGCGTAACGTCGGAAATAACGTGCATCTTAACCTCTGTATTAGATAGAAGACCCCCCCCCCCACCCTCCAGACCCCAGCACCCCCAGATTCTTGGATATGTACTATAATGTAGATGCTCTGGCTGGCTCATTGAAGACCCCCCCCCCCCCCCCCCCAGATTCTTGGATACCGTAATGTCGCGTGCATAAGCCGGATTTGTGCATAAGCCTGTCTCGTGTAGAAGCATGAAATCTGCAACAGCTTTTCGCGTACAAGCCTGTCGCATGCATAAGCCGGGCCAGTACACGAGACGCGCCACGTGTCGCGTGCGTAAGCCGGGCTACTACGCAAGACTCTCTCACGGCACCATGTACGAGCATGTTCTTTATCATCGTACTCCACACCTCATGACCTGAAAAGGAGTTGAACTCTACTGTGAAGCTGCTGGTGTTTGATGAGTTGGCTTGTTCGTTTGTGTGTGTGTGTGTGTGTGTGTGTGTGTGTGTGTGTGTGTGTGTGTGTGTGTGTGAGAGAGAGAGAGAGAGAGAGAGAGAGAGAGAGAGAGAGAGAGAGAGAGAGAGAGAGAGAGAGAGAGAGAGAAAGGAGAGGGGGGACGCGGTTCAGGGAGCGAAAAAAAAGAAAAAAAATCCCGTTGGAAAATGTTGGTTTTGACGTCCAAAAGTCAGCAGTTTGCGCATACAAGCCTGGTCATTGAGTGGTGCTTGTCATATAAGCCTGTCTCGTGTATAAGCCTGTCTCCATCACCGGCTTATAGGCATATAAGCCCCGGCTAATGCACGCGACATTACGGTATGTACTATAATGTAGATGCTCTGGCTGGCTGATTGAAGACCCCCCCCCCCCCCCAGCACCCCCAGATTCTTGGATATGTACTATAATGTAGATGCTCTGGCTGGCTGATTGAAGGAGGAGCAGCACGGCAGCCTGCTCTCCAACAAAAGCCGCCCACCGCCGAAAAGTCCACGAGGAAAGCTCGAGCCCAGCAGACCTATGTGAATTCGGTAACAGATGTGCAAACTCGGCTGGCAGAAATTGACGCCAACGCTCGACGACGAGAGCTTGAATTTGAGGAGCGGAGAGCACGCGAGCAGCGACAGTGGCATGATGAATCCGATTTGCGGAGGCGCCAGTACGATGATAAGAGAGACAGGAGGAGGGAGGAGCATGAACTGCGAATGGCACGCGCGAGAGAGAGAGGACCGTGAGAATCGAAGAGAAGCAGAGAGGCTGGAGCGGGAATCTCGCGACAAAGACCGAGGAACACAGCGATGTAGTGGCACTGGCAAAGCGCTTGCTGAGGCCGGCAAGGGTACTTCTACTCCTGACGCACCTTGATGGCTGCCTCATTGACCTGTTTTTATAGACTATTGACAACGGAACATGAAGAGAACGGGGCGATTATGACTTGAACTTTGACGATACGTTCCATACACCCAGGTCCGGAGACTTGCCAAAATTTGCTTCTTCCTATCGACTCCCCCCCCCCCCCCCCCCCCCCCAGCACCACTGACAAAGGACATACGAGCAAAAACAGGACACTTTCTCGATCTCAGGAAAATAAATTCAACATCCACGGCCACGTGGAGATCGATTCCATTTCGTATTTCCCCACGCGCACAGTTTTCGACGCAAACGTTGAAAATCACAAAAAAAAGTATGATAATTATCATGTCAATGCGTTTTCCGGCCTCAAACGCAAACGCACTCGCAAACGCGCCTCAATGAACGTAGTATGATAAGGCCCTAACCGTTAAAGGGGAAGTTCACCCTAAAATGAAAACTTCACAACATGTAGCGAAAAATGCACTGATTCCAATGGTGAAGGTCCCAGGTTGATCGGAGCAGCCGTTCCCGAGTTATACCAGCTTGAAGTTTGCACTAAATTCGGTGACATCATGATGACGTCATTAACTTGCCCAGAAGGCCGGATGTATGACGTCAGAGAGACTTTGTATGGGAGTACTGTGAATATGCAAAATTTCGGCACTTCACGATTTTTGACATTTCGGCGGCGATTTATTTTCGGCGTGGGGAAGAGGGCATGGTATAGTGTGACAGATGCTGTGAAAATGTCATCGGCGTTTAACCCTTTACAGCCTAAATTATTTCAGGAGACGCATGAAATTCACAAACTCACATTTTCATCTGACTGTAATTTCGATATCCTTTGGAGTATTCCAACAATCTCGGGCTCTATGGAAAGCTCTCTCCAAGACGAACGCAGCCATACCCAGTTCGCAATTGATAGAGTCGTTAAAGGGGAAGTTAAGGCAAAAATTAAAATTTCACCAGTTGTAGTCTTCGGGGTGCTGAGTCGAATGGTCTTGGTCCGAGGAAGCTGAGACGCTCCCTTCCTACTCGAATCCCAATCGAACTCGCGCACTTCCACCGAAACTGGGTGACTGCGCCCTACTAGATGGGGATTTGTATGCAAAATGTCACTAAAAGCGCCATTTCGTTCTTATAAAAGCACGGATGACCGCGATTGGCCCATATGTTGTAGTCTTTTGGACGCTGAGTCGACTGGTTTTGGTCCGAAAAGGCTGCGATGCAGCGTTCCTCCTTTATTCCCAATCGAACATGGTTGAACAAGCGGTCACGTGGTCCTGGGTGCCCAAATCACCTGGTCACCACGCCAGCAGGTGACAACTTTCACACCAAGGTTCAAATCGAGTTCAACTCGAGTGACAGGACTGCACCCAAAAAAGGTCAAACAGGCTAGTAAGTTGTACCCTGCAGGCACGGTGACCAGCTGACTGGTGTACGCAGGAGCACGTGACCGCTTGTTCAACCATGTTCGATTGGGAATAAAGGAGGAACGCCGCATCGCAGCCTTTTCGGACCAAAACCAGTCGACTCAGCGTCCAAAAGACTACAACATATGGGCCAATCGCGGTCATCCGTGCTTTTATAAGAACGAAATGGCGCTTTTAGTGACATTTTGCATACAAATCCCCATCTAGTAGGGCGCAGTCACCCAGTTTCGGTGGAAGTGCGCGAGTTCGATTGGGATTCAAGTAGGAAGGGAGCGTCTCAGCCTCCTCGGACCACGACCATTCGACTCAGCACCCCGAAGACTACAACTGGTGAAATTTTAATTTTTGCCTTAACTTCCCCTTTAAGTTAGGCGTTTTGGGTCGGTGCCGAATATAGCCGAAGTTAAATAGCTGCCGAAAATTTGTATATTTACAGTAGACGGGGAAATTTCAGTCTTTTGGCTCTCCATTGTCCCAAAAGAAGTTGGATGTTTTCAAACTTTGGCATGGGACATGCGGCACCCTAACGGTTGCCGACTGGAAAATTTCCAGGCATAACTCAGGAATGGCTGCTCCGATCAACCTGGGACCTTCACCATTGGAATTAGTGCAGTTTTCGCTACAAGTTGAGAAGTTTTCATTTTGATAGGGTGAACTTCCCCTTATTATAAAGGTGAAAAACATAGCCGTTTGAGCCCTTCTCCTCTCAGACCATATACTGTAATCATTATTTTCGGGCTTAGGGTTTACCGGGTGTTATTAGGGTTTACCGAGTGTTAGCAGCCGTCGTGAGTTCCCTTCGGGAACGGACACGATAATTTACTTTTTTATTCCCTATCCTATCCGTCAATGATTTTTAACAGGCTGTAACTCACTCATTTTTGCTCGAATCTGCACCATTTTGGTCTCAAAAGAAGCAGGAAAGAACCACCATTCATTTGCAAAAAAAAACGGATCGTTTTAGCATGTTCCAAAGAGAAGTTATAAGTCTCTGAAGGAGGTCTGTTCTCGCACCGCGTACGAAAGAAATTTCCACATGGTGTAACTTTGTCAAGGATTATGCTACCCTCCTTAGGCGCGCCGGTCACACATGCATGGCGCTTTTGCGACACCACCAAAGCTGCACCACAAAAGTTGGGATATCCCCGGATCACCATGGATACTGCGCCTGGCGCCACTGGCGCCACGGCGGCAATCTCAAAAGCGCCACAACCAAAAAATTGGTGGCGAAACACAAAAGCGGTAGTGCAACTTTTGCGGCGTTGTCGTTGTTGGATCTCTTGGATCTTGGAAAAATTAGTTTTTCATCTCTCGTCATGAAGTGGACTGCTGACCAAGAGCAACTGCTCCTCTCCCTCTATTTCGAGGTCAAGACAAGACACCAGAAAAAAATGACAAGAGATGTACAGAGGTACAAATGGATTGTTGACAAGCTGAAGGAGGAGGATGTGGTGGTCGCCTGGAAGCAGGTCAAGGATAAGATCGGGCGCCTGAAGAAGACGGGCTCCAAAAAGGTTAAACTTCATGTGCAGCCCAGAGTGCGCAGAAGCAGGCTAGAGCGAACCGGGGCAGCTGCTGCTGATGATGATGATGATGAAGATGAGCTGGACTGGGAAGAGATTCTCAAAGAAGCGATGTGGCCACTACTCAAATATTTCTATGATCTGTGGAAGTCTCATCCCACTCTGGGACTGGCTATTTCCACTGATAGTGCCCAAGACACCAGTGAGGATGATGATGATGACAACAATGCTGATGATGCTGAACAGGCAGCTTCAGCAGAGGCAGCCAACCCCAGTGCTACGAGCAACAGAGCTAGTACAAGCAGTGATAGCAGTACTGCACACACTACTGGAAACAGTGGAACTTTTGGTGATGGTGACATAGATGATGATTTAGACCATGACGTGGCTGATGACAGCGAGGCCGATAGTTCTGATGGACTTCCACCAGCACGTGCTGCAGCACTTTCAGCACAGCCTGTCCTCCCATCTGCAGCATTGCCTGCAGCAGCACTTTCAGCGCAGCCAATCGTACCATCAGCAGCATTGCCTGCAGCAGCATCTACCCCACTGCCTCTACCGACGCAGGCAACAGCAAGGCCACGAGCACAGGCGCAAGCTCAAACTCGACAGGAGCCGCACAATGGCCGTGCTCGGCCTGCCTTGCCTCCCACACCACCGAGTCGTGTTGGCAGAAGTAGGACGGCAGCACCAGAGCAACAGCGCCAGCAACAGGACCAGTTCTTGGCATCATTTGGCAACATAATGCAAGCGCATACACAACAAACCATTACACTTCAGGTAAGCAACTGTTTCCAAAACTGCCTTTTCCAAAATAGATTCTGGAAATATGGTCTGAAATAGACAGGAGATTGTTGGCCATGTTCCTTAAAATTTGAATTCTACTGTAGTATATTATAGATTTGTATTGGCTACTCGTTCATAATTGTGGTATCTACTTTACAGAATTGGAATTAGTGAGAATTCGCAAACAACTTGGCCAACGAAACATCACTAGCAGTCTAGCAGCAATACTTAGTCCTCTTGTGATGGTTATTTGTGTGCTTTGACCGCAGGCACAGCTACAACAACAGCAGCAACAATTTGAAGAGCGGATGAGAGATCGTGAGGAGAGAACGTCATCAGCCACACAACGGCAAAATCAGGAATTCCAGATGACTGTCCAGCAGTCAATGATGACATTCCAGGCCACACTTGTGAGCAACCTCTTCAATGGTCCTGGACCAAAGTCTTCCCGGAACGAGGAGCAGGACTGAGCTTGTTTTGTGATAAATCCTTTCTTCAATTTTTTCAGCCGTGTTCTTCTCTTCGATTTTTTAGGTGCAATTTAGCACGCTGCGGTTTTTCTTATACGCCTTCTGCACGGGCAAAACAATAAAGTTGCATTCAGTGCTTCTCGTTCACACAGAGCAGGTGTATAAATTCATCAATGGAATGGATTGTACTCAGTGTGGAAATAAGAGGCCAGCAGAACCGTATTGCTCAAACAACAGGGTGATCTCGGTGAGTACGCCGCGCTAGCTTCCTTCTCACCGTCCAACCTGCTTGTTCGTAGTCATCGTGGGGTTGGTCATTTGGTCCTGGGTGGAACTGATTGTACGTGGCAGTGTTAATTAGCCAAGTCGGTTCCATAGGACACTTCCATCTCTCGCAGATGTTGTGCAGACCGCAACAGACAATGGCCACATCAGCAGCGAAGTCGGGATCGTCGAGGTTATTGTGGACTAGCACACGGAATCGACCCTTGAGTCGCCCAAACGCCTGCTCCACTACACGCCTTGTCCGAATAAGCCGGTAGTTGAATGTCCGTTCATGTGGCTGAAGTCCAGCTGAGTCATCAAAGCACTTCATTAGAGTGGCACACATGGGGAATGCAGAGTCTCCCACAAGGTAGGGCCGTATGTACGTGCCTTCAATTCGAAAGTTGTCTTGTATGGTCAGCCACTTTTGCTGGGAAATCCTGCGTAACATTGTTGATGTGGCATACGCACTGGCATCCCCAGCAGATCCAGGCCTTCCGGCATTCACGTTGATGAACATCCCGCACGCATCTACAGTGCCCAATAAAATAATTGAGCAGTACTTCTTGTAACAATAGTAGCAGTCACCAAACATGGCCTTTGGCTTTCGAATTTTAACAAATGTTCCATCCACGGCTCCTGCACACCTTTCCAGGAATGATAGGGACTCGAATTCTGCCATCACTCTCTTCAGCTCTTGTCCCTCTGGGAAGCGAATGGAATTCGGCACCATGTGCATCTTCAGTGCACGCACAGTTTCATGGACTATCTTAACAGCGGTTGACTTGGCAATGCCATGCTGACGGGCTAGCTGCGAGTAGCTATTGCCGTTGGCAAGCCAATGCAGCGTTATTGCCAGACGTTTGTGGCTCGGTACACACAACCTCCACTTGCTGTCCTGGAATGTAATATACCGGCCAAATTCCTCATGGAGATGCCAGAACTCTGATTTGCCCATTCGCACATGCTCCATATACTGTTGATCTTCAAAGTCGGGGACATTCCATTGCACGGACATTGTGGGATAATTTCTCAAAAAATCTTCATCCCATACATTGCCATCTCTGAGAGCAGCCCAGACGCGTCGTTTTCTCTTGTATCTACCGAAGAGAAGGTCACGCATGTGCGGCAAACCAAACAGTGCCATCATCTGTATCCATACAGGCTGGGTGTCATCAACCATCCGACATGGGACTCGACTCAGGCGTCCACCGAT